GTGTGAGTGGGTGTGAGTGAGTGGGTGTGAGTGAGTGAGTGGGTGTGTGTGTGTGAGTGAGTGGGTGTGGGTGTGAGTGAGTGTGAGTGGGTGTGTGTGAGTGAGTGGGTGTGTGAGTGAGTGGGTGTGAGTGAGGGAGTGGGTGTGAGCAAGTGGGTGTGGGTGTGAGTGAGTGTGAGTGGGTGTGTGTGAGTGAGTGGGTGTGTGAGTGAGTGGGTGTGAGTGAGGGAGTGGGTGTGAGCAAGTGGGTGTGGGTGTGAGTGAGTGTGAGTGGGTGTGTGTGAGTGAGTGGGTGTGTGGGTGGGAATGAGTGGGTGTGAGTGTGTGAGTGGGTGTGTGAGTGGGTATGAGTGAGTGAGTGAGTGAGTGGGTGTGAGTGTGTGGGTGTGAGTGAATGAGTCTGTGAGTGTGTGTGTGTGTGTGTGTGTGTGTGTGTGTGTGTGTGTGTGTGTGTGTGTGTGAGATGTGGGTGTTAGTGAATGAGTCAGTGTGTGTGTGTGTGAGGTGAGTGAGTGTGAGAGTGAGTGAGTGAGTGAGTGAGTGGGAGTGAGTGGGAGTGGGTGTGGGTGTGAGTGAGTGAGTGGGTGTGAGTGTGTGGGTGTTAGTGAATGAGTCAGTGTGTGTGTGTGTGAGGTGAGTGAGTGTGAGTGTGGGTGTGGGTGTGTGTGAGTGAGTGAGTGAGTGTGAGTGTGTGTGTGTGTGTGTGTGTGTGTGTTCACTGTATGACACTGTCTTCTCACACTCTTCATCTGATTAAAGTCAACAGTGGATGTTTTTCTGTACATATGTCTCATGGGATTCATCATCAATTTTAATTGAACACAAAGTATATGATAATAGATTTTTCAATTATAATAATCTTTAAAAAATCTTTATCTTTAAAAAATTCTAATTGTATTATAAACGTTTTATTTATAAATTACTTATTTATAAAATATAATGTTAATTAAACAAATAAAGAATTTAAAGAAATCGAGATAAAAAGTATTTATTTAAAAAATATGAAATATTGTTTTTGTTGACCTGCATGTGACCATTAATAAACATCAGAGAATCTATGATTATAGATTTATCAATTATAATTATGACAGTTATACACTTGAGAAAATTCCAGTTGTATTCCAATCATTGTATTTATAATTCACTTATAATTATATTATTTATAATAAATTAAATCATGAAAAAACTAATAATTTGAATGAAAATCAATAAAAATAAAATATTTTATAAAACATCATGAAATGTCATGTGACCGTTAATTGACATCAGAGAACCATAAATGATTTTAGATTTATCAATTATAATAATGTCTATCTTCATAAAATTCCAATTTCATTCTGATCATTTCATTTATAAATCACTTACAGTATATTTAATTAAATAAAAAATCTAATTGAAACAAATTAATGATTTAACAAATAATACAGTTAAAAAAATATTTACTAAAGAAGATGAAATATTGTATTTGTTTACCTGCATTTCATCTGACCATTAATATCTTATCTTTATCATTTTTATTTATCTTTATTTATTTACTTTTATCTTTTATCATTTTTCTTCAAACAAATATTCAACATTCTAACGATGTTTATGAGATTTTATCTGAAGAATAATTCACTTTTATGATTTTTAAGTCTGGAAAAGTCATGAAAGTTAGTAAATAAAGAAAATTAATTAAAAGGAAATGAGTATAAACATATTTCAGTATTGAGCCCTGCAAGGGCTAATGTAGATCAGTTTAATCATTGAAACCTAATCAAATCTCAAATCTGATCTATGTTTAAAATCCATATCCAGTAATCCTAAGCATTAGGAAAAACTCTTGGGAAAGTGGTGTAAGTTCACTGGTGAGTGTGGGAAAGTGTTTTTTTGTGCTGGTGTAATGCAGTAGTGCTGCTGATCACATCCTGATCCAGTCCTGTCCTCACTGTCAGATCCAGCCTCAGGAGATCAGTCCTCCTCCCACAGCAAACCTGGACCGCTCCAGTGATAAGGTGTATGAGCACGTGACGGGGCTGGTGAAGGCCGTGATCGAGATGTCCAGCCGCATCCAGCCCGCGCCGCCCGAGGAGTACGTCCCCATGGTGAAGGTCAGCAGCAGGGCATGCTGGGATGCTCTCGTGACGGCTGTCTCTGTGTGACGTGTGTTTGATGGGTGTCTCTGGTGTCTCCTCTCAGGATGTTGGACTGGCGCTCAGGACTTTACTAGCGACGGTGGACGAGACCATCCCAGTGTTACCGGCCAGCACTCACAGAGAGGTCAGACTCGCTCAGACTCGCCTCTAGAGTTACATCAGGGACTAATCTGTGCTTTTTTGGGAATAAATCTTTATCCGGAATAGTGTTTTTCCATTCTCCTTGGGACAAAACAAATTTTCAATTTCAATTTTCAAAACTCAATTAAGTTTTAAATTGAGTTATTTAAAGATTAAATTATTTTTGTAGCATTAACCGTTGCATTATTTGCTTTGAATTAATACTTTTTTTAGTGATTTAATTATATATATATATATATATATATATATATACAGTATATAATTTGTTGTAGCCCTACATACTACTCTACTATATATTTCCATATACTATTTTTGCGTCAATGTTATTATCATTAACTAAAACTAAACCTAACGCTTGAAATAAAATATAAATATTGGATGGGGGAAAAAAATGAAGGGAAATTAAAATTCGACTCGAAATTAAACTGAACTAAAATTCCTAACTAGAATTAAACAAATACTGAAACTGAACTAAAGCTAAAACTGCAATACACAATAAAATATAAATAGCAATATTTAGAAAAAAATATATAAAAATGACAAAACGTACTATGCTAAGAACATTTTTTTTTTTGTTAGAAATATTTTGGAGATGATCACTGGATGATAATAATAATAATAAATAAAATTTTATAATAAAGGTAATTATTTAATTATATTATATTTCTTCCAGTTCCAGTATATCATATTGTCAGAGGTGGAAAGTAACGAATTACTTTTACTCGCGTTACTGTAATTGAGTAGCTTTTTTGTGTACTTCTACTTTTTAAAATCTGTAATTTTATTTTTACTTAAGTATATTTTGTTTGAACTATTGTACTTCGCTACATTTTAAAACACATTAATTACAAAAAAAAAGTACTTTTTTTAAAAACATTTTTCTGTTCAACTTTAATAAAAAAAAAATTTAATTAGTTAAAAAAAAAAAAATCGCTCCCTGGAAACTACTGCAGTAAATAATGGGCAGGAGAGCAAACTGCCACTAAAAAGATGCAGACGGACAAGACCGGCGTTAGTGGTGCAGAGCAGACCCAGCTGAGAACGAAACCCTGTCGTATTCTGCTGAATTTGAACTCGAAGGAAATGAAGTGAACCCTGGCCATATTTAAGCTAGTTTGAACTATTGTACTTCGCTACATTTTAAAACACATTAATTACAAAAAAAAAGTACTTTTTTTAAAAACAGTTTTCTGTTCAACTTTAATAAAAAAAAATTTTAATTAGTTAAAAAATAAAAAATCGCTCCCTGGAAACTACTGCAGTAAATAATGGGCAGGAGAGCAAACTGCCACTAAAAAGATGCAGACGGACAAGACCGGCGTTAGTGGTGCAGAGCAGACCCAGCTGAGAACGAAACCCTGTCGTATTCTGCTGAATTTGAACTCGAAGGAAATGAAGTGAACCCTGGCCATATTTAAGCTCTATTATGCAGTGCGAGCTGTGTTTGCCTATAGGGAGACCAAACTAGCAGCTTATAAAATCTGGACATCAACCCTTGCAATCATGTAGAGGTACGGTAAATACTTGCATTGTTGCATTGGTGGTTAAAATGAAGCTTTGACAGTTTAGCAAGAGGTTTTGCACAAGCTAGCCAAAAAGACAGTGGTGCAGGGTGTGCGATATATATCGTCTGCGATAGTATCGTAATTGTTGTTTTAACGATGTGCGATTTGGCATTAGCAGTATTTTGCCAAAATCTAACAAAACACTCCTACAGAGTGCCGTGAAGTCTAGTAGATTAGACTAGTGCGCGCGCATTTAGAGTGCGTTCTTTCACTGCGTGATTCAGTCTGTTAAAATACATTTAGAATGATCCCAAAATTCAAGATATAGGGGCAGAAAATGTCAAATTAATTTCATATCGAGGTAAATCGCAGTGACTCAGTTATTAACAGTGACTTGCTGACACCTACTGGCGGTTTTAATTTCATGTTTAAAGTATCTTTTGATTTTTTTTCTTATAATTTCAGATGAGTATTCAACATTTTATGTCTAATATATCAAAACATTATTTCTGCATTAGTAACTGCAGGTTATATGCATTTATGTCCTGCATTAAACAGTGTGTGAATACATCTAAATGCCACTTCCGTTGAAGCTTGTTTCCTCTGCATTGAAAAGATGAATTTTGATGATACGGATTTAATTTGCCTGATAACAGTCCAAATATCTTATTATTCTAAATAACTGATTCCTTTCATTAAAAACAACTGGTTTGAGATTTATAGGCCTGTCCCATTTTGCCTCCCTCCCACTGTTAAAATGTAACTAAGTAATTTTAAGTACATTTTAAATGAGCTACTTTTTACTTGAGTAGATTTTTAGACTGGTACTTTCACTTGTACTCAAGTAAAATGTAATTAAAATAATGGTACTTTTATTATTATAATATTTTCGAACTCTTTCCACCTCTGCATATTGTAAATTCGGGATGCATGATTTGGGGAAAATGTATAGTTTGGGGAATACTTATTAAAAATATGGAGAGAGAAAAAACTCCAGTTTTGTAGGGTTAGACCATATGGCCCAAAATCTTGTGATTTACATGTTAATATGACTAAATAATAATAATAAATAACAATAGTTTATTATTTAGTATTAATCAATATTACTATTATAAAATTGTATTATTACTACTTTTACTATTATTATTATTATTACTAAATAAAATACTAAACAAAATAATATTATGTTGTGTATTCATTCAAAATAATATTGTAATATTCCAATGTAAAAAAAAATAAAAAAATCAAGTTAAAATAATTTGTGGCCCTGGACCACAAAACCAGTCATAATTTTTCGAAATTGAGATTTATACATCAGCTGAGAGCTGAATAAATACGCTTTCCATTGATGTGTGGTTTGTTAGGATAGAACCGAGATACAACTATTTGAAAATCTGGAATCTGAGGGTGCAAAAAAATCTGAATATTGAGAAAATCATCTTTAAAGTTGTTCAAATGAAGTTCTTAGCAATGCATATTACTAATCAAAAATTACGTTTTGATATATTTACAGTAGGACATTTACAAAATATCTTCGTGGAACATGATCTTTACTTAATATCCTAATGATTTTTGGCAAAAAAGAAAAATGTATAATTTTGACCCATACGGTGTATTGTTGGCTATCGCAACAAATATACCCCAGCAACTTAACACTGCTTTTGTGCTGCAGGGTCGCATATATTAATTTTATTTTACAGTACAACTGTAAAGCAGCAAAACTAATATTTGCCTTAATTTCGTCGTCTTCAAACGTTTAAACCATCAAGCTTTCATTTTTGCCATAAAAATGCATGGTGCCCTTAATGCTTTCTTTTTTTTGGCTGCACTTGTATTTGATGAATCATGCAGCCTCATGTGTGCTGTGTTTGTGTCAGATCGAGATGGCTCAGAAGCTGCTGAACTCAGACCTGGCGGAGCTCATCAGTAAGATGCGTCTGGCGCAGCAGTACGTCTTGACCAGCCTGCAGCAGGACTACAAGAAGCAGATGCTGACCGCGGCTCACGCGCTCGCCGTCGACGCCAAGAACCTGCTGGACATCATCGACCAGGCGCGGATGAAGATGCACTGACTCCTCCTGATGCTGGATCATCAGCCGGACCTTCAACACAGCACACCCTACACAAATACACCTTCATTACAGAGATTGGTGCATTTGGTGGAGCGGAGAGGATATTGCAGACGTATCGTTTTATAACCGCTAGCGGCATCATGCTTTATTTTGTATCCAGAAATGAACTTTCTCAGCGCTGGAGAACCTGCAGCTGGAACCCAATGAACGCCAATAATGCTTTTCCAATGATCCAAAGGCTTCTCAACGCCACAAATGATTTTATATATTATATTATCAAGGTGCTTTAACAACCTCCTCTTGAGAAACTCAGGGGTCCGACGCGCCTCTCATGAACACTCAAAGCCAAACCAGTCATATTTAACAGATCTTTTAAAGGAATCGCAGCTATTGTATGAAACCGAGGGCAATTCCAATGCCAATATAGTCACATATCAGTCACTTGAAGCACATATTGATCAATTGTTATAATCGAAGCTGCCTTCTGAATTCATTTTAAGAGACTCAATTCTGTAAAATCATGTCATGTTGGGTTTTTTTTACCACACGTTAGGGTTGAAGTGACCCGTTTGAGTTCGGACTAGAATTAACTTTGTGTACAGAACAATCGTGAAATCCATTTTGTCATTGATATAAATTATTCTCAGGAAGAAGCAACTGTACAGATCGTTTAACGATTAAAATGTTATCATTATCTGAACGTGTCTTGGTTTTATTTCTGCTGGATAGCTATTAGTCCTTTTGATTAATTGAACTTTTTTAGTGCGTAATAAAAGGTAATGGTTGGGTTAATTTATCAGTTATTTAGCATTCATTTTACTTGACAATTGTTGCTTTAAAATGCAGCTAAGAAAAAAAATTCTAGTCACGCTCCGAAATGAAACCTCGTCGGTCAAACTGAACACACTTTGGATAAAAAGCATTTGTTAATTTATGAGTTTTCAATTTTTTTGATGCCGAGAAAAAATATTTTTAGATTTCATAAATTATATTTGTATAGCTCATATATTACACATTTGTATCAAAATTAATCACGTTGCATTATGAGAGAAAAATGCTAAGCATTATATTAGTCATGTTGAACAGAATAATCATAATTACAAAATGTTTAGGCTTTTTTTTTTACATTTCTGAAAAATCTCGGTGCCACATGAATAAATGTGAATGCACTGACCTGTAAAGTAAAAATGACTACTTCAGTATTAAATAATATGTAAGTGATATTTAACGAGTTCTTTTAGGTGGCGTTATTCCTTCAACATAAGCCTAACTTTAAAAATATACAAAACACGGCACAAACTCAAAGATGTGAAGACTTTTAACCCTCTGGCTAATGTAGGCTCCCTCTTTTATTTTATTTTTCACACTTTATAAACTACCTCATACAAAGGATTAATGTATTTTCCATTTTTAAAGGAAAAGTGGAAGATTCTTTAGAACGCAAGGTTTTATGTACAGCATGAGCTGGTGCACAGCACAAATGTCAACATTTAACAAGGTCTTCAAGCGTTAATATTAATGAGCAATTTATATTTGTAACAGTATTTATGAACCGCTGCATTTTTATTAACATTGTTAGTTCTCAGAGCTATTAACATTCAACTTTTGAGTAGTGCATTATTAAACACCAAAGTTAACATTAAGATTAATAAATGCTTGCATACTTTTATTAGTTTGTTATCTAATCTAATTATCAAATGCTAACAAACGAACCCTTTTTGTAAAGCGTCACCCAAAACATGCTTGAACTCGCATTTTTTTTTAAAACCCAATGAGACATTAGCATCTCATTATGGTTTTAAAAACTCAGGAACAACGGGAAAAAACGTAAAATTCTTTAGGAGAAGTGAATAGTTTGGTTAACCCCAACCCGGCAACGACACAAACAGTATTGAGAGTCTCAATGTTTTTTATTAAAAGCTGTTTTAGTCAAACAGACCGAAGCCCATGTCGTCATCAGACTCCTCGGACTCGTCTTTCTTTTCCTCTTTCTTCTCCTCCTCTTTGGCTGTAATGCAAACAGAAAACGAGCTCAGAAAGTGAATCTCAGTGCATGTGAAGCATCTGAAGGAGCGCGAGAGGTTACCTGGTGCATCTCCACCTGCAGGAGCCGCAGCAACACCTGCAGCAGCGGCCGGAGCCGCTCCACCGCCGGCTCCAACGTTACAGATCAGACTGCCGATGTCCACGCTGGCCAGAGCCTGAGCACAGGAAGTCACATCAGACCTCACCACCAACACACTGCAATGAATGTTCAAGCTTCCCATAAAAAGTGCAAGCGTTTCCATCATGGACTGGGAAATAGACGCACCTTAGCGAAGAGACCGGGCCAGAAGGGCTCGATGGACACACCGGCGGCCTTGATCAGAGCGATCAGCTTGTCCTCCTGCAGAAATAATCAAAAGAGAACAAAAACAGCAATTCATGAGCCTATCTGGATGCTTTCCTAACAAAATAAGTTACATTGTGGCAGTTCAAAGGTGAAGTGGAGATATCAGATGCCAAGCATGGTGCTGTCAAACAAAAAGCACAGCACAGAGTCCAATATAACGCTCTAGGACAAATACCATAGTAGCACACCATGATATATGTGTATTGTAATGTCAACAGAAGGTCCATCATGCAACGTGCTTCAGTACTGTGACATTACAAAGGTACAGAAATGTTACAAGGTGATGCTGTATAGTGTATGATGCAGATCACAGTCTCAGCATTTAAAAGTAAAACACTTAGGCTGCCTTGAATAAGACAGTCAAATTAGCTAATAAGCTAACAAACAACACGGAAAGCGCGCGCGCTTCTCTATAACGCACTAGTTTCCCACAACTGTTGTTTTCACGTGTAAACACATCAGATTAAGCTTCTAGCACCACACTGGACCTGTAAATAATAAACTAAGGTATATGGAAATGTTTTAAATCTCAGAAGTGTCATATATGAGGAGACATAGTGCCGGTGTCCCGGATGTTCACCCCGGCCGCACTCACCGTGACCGTGACTTCATCATCGTGGAGGATGAGCGCGGAGTAAATACAGGCCAGCTCGGACACAGATGCCATTGTACTTTCAGCGGGTTAATGTTTTAGACGTGACATGCTGTATGCTCCTTTCTTACTGAATCTTAAGATAATGCGGAGCTGTTCTGTTGTGAGGATGTCAGTCTTTATGGGATTTTCCTTTGGGCTTTTCATCGTAAGACACGCCGTACTCGTTCACTCTGGTTTTATCCACTGGATAGAGCCTGAAACCACATCAGCATCTCATGTAACACCTATAGGAGTTTAAACATCAGCTCTGGATCAGTGTTTGACTGTGGTTTCTCACCATCTCTGATAGAGGTACACGAGGAACACCACGTCATCTCTGAAACACGCTAGCCGATGTGACGTGGGCATCGTGATGATGAATGCAAAGACGTCATCGATAAACGTATTAAAAGCCTGTTGAGAAACAGAAGAGGAACACTATAGGCCTCCATTACTGGAACACAAACCTAAAGATATGCAACGATCTAGAATTTGTTTGTCAGTATTAGCAGTCAATAATTCATTTATTAAATCAGACGACTAATACGAGAAATAATAATAGTTATTTTATTAAATAAATATTCATGCACAATAGGAAAAATGGAGAACTGCTACATTATAAGATAACATGCATCTGATACACTTTGCAAAGGAAAAAAATGTTAACATTTAAAAAAACGTATTAAAAGAATAAAATAAAAAAATAATAAAAATTATGTAAAATATATATATAATTTATTAAGCCTGACAACTAATATGATATATTCATTTGATTAATTTGTTAGATTTTATGTTGTTTTATTTACAAAATAATAAAAATGTGTTTAAAATAATGCATAATGCACAACAGAAAATAAGGAAATTTGTTATATAGGGGGAAAAAATGATATCTGATACTTGTTGCATAGAAAAAGAGTTTGTTGCATAGAAAAAGTAATTAAAAGAATAAGAGAAAAATATGATATATAAACATATATAATTTATTGAGTCTGACAACTAATGTGATATATTACTTTATTAATTTCTTGGGTTTTATGTTGGTTTATTTAAAATAATAATAATAAAAATTTATTTAAAATAATGCATAAAATAATATGCATTATAAAAAATGTATATGCATAATAAAAAATTATATAAAAATGTAAATATAAGATACAAAAAAGCTAAAAGAATTAAAGAAAAAAACAATAAATATATAAAATGTAATATGTTAAAATATTGAATGTATAATATATATATATATATATATATATATATATACACACACACACACACACACACTATTTATAAAAATAAATATTAATAATATTTAACATTTATCATATACCGGTATATTTATTTTTTCAATTCAGAGCCATGTCGCTACTTTAAAAGCAGTATTATCTACCAAAACAAATAGATTTCAGATAGAGAATAGAAACAGATTTCTTCACATATCATGCATTAATAACACAAACAGCATCGTCGTCTCTCACCTTGTACATGAAGGCTTTCCAGGGCAGATGAGCGACTGATTTCAGCTGGTCACACAAATGCATTGATCATTCACTCAAACATTATTTCATTATTCTGAATGCAAGAAGTGTTTTCGACTGAACAAACCTTGTAATTTACAAAGAGTTGAGGCAGCATGAAGAGGAATCCGAAGGCGTACACCCCTGAATGAGAACAAACGATCAATTACATTTCCATCCTTAATGCTTCTAAATCAATCAATCAGTCAGAGAACGCTACAAAGTGAAACGTACCATTGACTAAACTGTTAATAATCCAGGAATACCAGCTGTTCAAACACAACAAATAGTCATCAGTTGTGCACTTCAGATAACTTTTTCAGCAAAAAAAACATGTTCAAATCTGTATGATGTGACTCTTACCTTTTGTACTTGACAAACACAAGAGCGTAAACGGCTCCGCCGATGCACAGAGGATACAGCAGATACGACAGATACTTCATCGCCTGCTCAGACCAACAACATTCAGCTGTAACGTCAGACATCTAAACATCACCAGAAGACTGCGACGAAGCTCATACTCACCAGTGTGTCATATTCCTCTGTTCGTTTCTCTGATTCGTCCCTCTTCCCAAACTGAAGGACAGACCACAAACAATTTAGTTAAAGTGAAGTGAAGTGAAAGTGACATGTGGCCATACTTGGAATTAGTGCTCTGCATTTAAAAAGTGCACACACAGCAGTGAGCACACACACACCGTGAACACACACCCGGAGCAGTGGGCAGCCTTTTATGCTGCGGCGCCCGGGGAGCAGTTGGGGGTTCGGTACCTTGCTCAAGGGCACCTCAGTCGTGGTATTGAAGGTGGAAGAGAGCTGTACATTCACTCCCCCCACCTACAATCCCTACCGGTACGAGACTCGAACCCGCAACCTTTGGCTTATGAGTCCGACTCTCTAACCATTAGGCCACGACTTCCCCACAATGGAAATGCGTTGGCCGGGAATCGAACCTGGGTCAACTGCTTGGAAGGCAGCTATGCTCACCACTATACCACCAACGCAGGTTAGTATGCTATTAGTAATAAAACCACAAAGAGTTTACCAGGAATGTGGGAGTCAAGCCCCTCCATATGACGTGTATTTTAAACGCTTTCTTCACTTTCCACACCTGAAAAACAACAAGAGCGCAAGGCATTCAAGAATACAAAGACAGAAGCTGCAGGCGTATGCTCATTATGTCCACTTGATGCAAAGAAATCAAACAAATAAGACAAAAACATGAGTGTCACTGTACCTCGATCAAAGAGCCGATCCCGGCAGGAAGCAGAACCAGCAGACTGGTCTGCTCATCCAGCAGATACAGGAAGATCACAATGGTGCTGAAACACCTCCACAGCACTGAGACACACACACACACACACCTCACATCAACACACACTGACACTAAACCACATCCAATCATCTGATGTAGGGATGCACCGATATGAAAATTTTGGCCGATACCGATAACAGAAAAAATGAGCCGATATGGGCCGATACCGATATGGTGGCCGATATATCGTGCATCCCTAATCTGATGCATGCAAACTCACTTGGATGAATCATTTGGCTCATATTCTGATAAGTGATGCAACCATTTCGAACTATTTTCCACATTTATAAATAAAAATAAAATGTAACAATTACAAAAAAAATTACGAAGTTATATGTAACCCTGCAGCACAAAAGCAGTGTTAAGTCGCTGGGGGATATTTGTAGCAATAGCCAACAATGCATTGTATGGGTCAAAATTATTGATTTTTCTTTTATGCCAAAAATCATTAGGATATTAAGTAAAGATCATGTTTCATGAAGATATTTGGTAAATTTCCTACTGTAAATATATCAAAACTTAATTTTTGATTAGTAATATGCATTGCTAAGAACTTCATTTGAACAAATGTAAAGGTGATTTTCTCAATATTCAGATTTTTTTGCACCCTCAGATTCCAGATTTTCAAATAGTTGTATCTCAGCTAAATATTGTCCGATCCTAACAAACCATACATCAATGGAAAGCTTATTTATTCAGCTTTCAGATGATGTATTAATCTCAATTTCAGAAAATTGACCCTTATGACTGGTTTTGTGCTCCAGGGTCACATATTTTTTGAAACTGCATATACTTAGAGGATAATGCACTATATTATAACTAGATATTATATTCAAATATATTATTATTCTAGAATATTTATTTACTATAGTTTATATACTTTATATTTATAAATTCCAGTTTAACCACTTTTTAAATTTCACAAGAAATTTTAAAACACTGAAAGTAACATACATTCCGTATCATAATTATAAAATAAAATACCAGGTGATATTTTATTATTGTTGAAATGCCATTTTAAATATATTTTGGATACATTTTTAATTTGTTTGTATTTTTACATTTTCTGTTTTTATTTCAAGTTTTTATTTTTAGTAATTTTGTTCTGTTTGTCATTTTTAGTAGCTATATATAGTTTTTATTATTTTTTAACTTCAGTTTTAGTTGTAATTATTTTAGCACTTGAAGTTATACTAAAAATGAGAAATGTTGACATGGTCACTAGCTGAAATCAAATATATTTAATTGTTTTTTTTTTATATTTTATTTTAAGTTAACATTTATTTTAAATTTTAAATGGCAATAAATTAATTGAATCCTGATTATAATACATTATAAAATTCTATGGTTGCTCATTTGACCATATTTCCACAAACACAAAACAGCCTTTCACTTCTGGAAAACCCAGTTTGCATGTATTACAGGCATGTAAATCAGGAAGGGTGTTCACAGACCTGCTTTGCTGGACATCCCAACCATGCTCTTCTTGTGTTTCCAGAAACTGATGTCATTTTTGAAAGCCAGAAAATCAAACAAAAGCTGGAAAAAACAGCATTGTTTTAATGCAGTGAAATATAAATCCCATCAGCATCTGCCGTATGAACAGCACTCAGACAGCATTAACACAATATGATGGATCTCGGCGTAAAACACACAAGCTTACATGGAAGGCGGCCACAAAAAAGGTGAGTGCGAGGAAATATAGATTGGTGTCCACAAATATCCCCTTGATTTCATCAGCATCCTTTTCAGTGAAGCCTAGAGTGCAAAGAAAAAATATTGCTGTATTAGTTAGGCAGTGTTCAGCAGTCCAAAACAAGTGAACTGAACAAACTACACTACTTGACGAAAATACCATTTTCTTCAAAATAATAATTATTACATTTAATTTAATACAATTCATATCGCAGTTGCCGATATATATATATATTTTTAAATACTTTATGGATTATTGTTTTAATTATATCCAAAAAAAACAAAAACAAACATAAAAAGCATGCACATCGAAAAATGTCTAAATACAGATTACAATTTAATACTTATGTTAATATAATATTAGTTTAAAATTAAAAATATTAGTAATATATATTTATATAAATCGTAATATATATATATATATATATATAATTATATATTATACCATATATAATGATTTTATATAAATTAATTATTTAATGGCAATCCAAAACCATTAACTGAATGAACATAAAATGTATCTAAATGAATAAGAAATCTTAATACATTTACTTATATACATGACCCACTTGCAATACAATTAATCAGCTAATATTTTTTTTATTTTATGGTTGTAAAAAGCCTTTTTTTAATTTTTTATAAATATTGTACAAAATAGGTGTTCATTCAAATTAAGTTTTTGCCAGTAATAATAATATACAGTTATAATATAATAAATAAAATAAAAAAATAAAACATATATATAATAAACTCCAGCCATTAAATTAGCCATTTAACCTTGACAAATTCACTTGAATTCCCCAGGAGACAGCAGATTCTTACCGAACTGCTGAAGTGAATAAACGGCGTCCTGCATATGGATCCAGAAGCGCAGCTTCCCGAGAGCGATGGAGTCGTATGAGATGGTCAGAGGCAGCTCAGTGCTGCTGCTTTTTGCCAGTAATAATAATATACAGTTATAATATAATAAATAAAATAAAATAAAAAAATAAAACATATATATAATAAACTCCAGCCATTAAATTAGCCATTTAACCTTGATAAATTCACTTGAATTCCCCAGGAGACAGCAGATTCTTACCGAACTGCTGAAGTGAATAAACGGCGTCCTGCATATGGATCCAGAAGCGCAGTTTCCCGAGAGCGATGGAGTCGTATGAGATGCTCAGAGGCAGTTCAGTGCTGCTGCTGTTGATCTCCTGCAGGGACAGGTTTCAAACCAAACACATTATCACTCAGTGAGCAGCTGCAGGAGAAACACTGGAATGCAGAGAATCAGAGGAGCAGCACCATTAAATCCTTCACTCGGTTGCTCAGCTCATCTACAAACAGCAGCGGCAGGTAAATCATCTTCTTCCCGCTCTGATATCTGCAGGACAGGAATGTAAAGGAGAATTAGAGAGGCAGGTCGGATGATGAAAAACACATTTTACATGCTTTTAAATGTGGTAAGTCACTAGCAATTATCTCATAGATGTATTGCTTTATCCCTTAATGGACTACAGGTCATTGCAGAGGTCAGGAAACATTAAAAAAAACAAACATTTAAAGCCATTTAACCTTGACAAATTCACTTTAATTCCCCAGGAGTCCGCAGATTCTTACCAAACTGCTGAAGTGAATAAACGGCGTCCTGCATATGGATCCAGAAGCGCAGTTTCCCGAGAGCGATGGAGTCATATGAGATGCTCAGAGGCAGTTCAGTGCTGCTGCTGTTGATCTCCTGCAGGGACAGGTTTCAAACCAAACACATTATCACTCAGTGAGCAGCTGCAGGAGAAGCACTGGAATGCAGAGAATCAGAGGAGCAGCACCATTAAATCCTTCACTCGGTTGCTCAGCTCATCTACAAACAGCAGCGGCAGGTAAATCATCTTCTTCCCGCTCTGATATCTGCAGGACAGGAATGTAAAGGAGAATTAGAGAGGCAGGTCGGATGATGAAAAACACATTTTACATGCTTTTAAATGTGGTAAGTCACTAGCAATTATCTCATAGATGTATTGCTTTATCCCTTAATGGACTACAGGTCATTGCAGAGGTCAGGTGTAATGTGAATGAGCCCGACTGACTCACACTCTCATGTAGCGGTGCACGTCTCCAGGAAGAGCCTCTCGGTCAAACAGGAAGTTCTCCGACACCACGTTCACGGTCAGACGGGAACGCCAGTGAGAAACGGGCCGGTCCAGCTCAGAGTCGCTGCTTTGCTTTTGCTGATCCGGTTTCTGAGTACAAATCAGATTGGTTTACAGGAGCGTGAAAACCAAACCTGCTCAGATGCAGGACGTGGGCTTCGGCTCACCTGCGGCTCGTCCTGGCGCGTGATCAGGCTGATCTCCGGAGGTTTGGGCAGCGTGTATGTGGTCAGTTGCGTGACTAAATGCACCTGGTGCGGATCCTGCCACGGCGAGACTCCCGCCTGATGCAGGAACACCATGGCGTACAGCGTGCCATTCTTGCGGGTCTTCTTCGGCAAAGACACATTGACTAACCTTGAAAAGACAGAGGCACAGATGTGAGAGAGCGGATCTGGTATGTGATAGTTGCCTACAATGAAGCCCTACAGGATGAAAATACAGAGTAACTGTGATATAATGTGTTAGTTAAGTACTACATCTGCTAAATGACATCGCTTTTACCTCTCAAACCTGGTGTTGACATCAAACTCTTCCTCTCTGTGGATCAGACTGTGTCCACCATCAGCATTGGGTCTTAATGCAGTGTAGACGCTTAGCTAAAAACCCACAGCCAAAATATCACTGTTAATGCATTTATTATTAAATATACTCTTATTGCTTACTGGAATGTATTTTGTACTGTATAATGTTGATTATTTGCCATCTAAATAAATAAATGTCTGCTAATGTAGGTGAAATGTGGAAATATTTAGAGATAAACGGTGTAAAAAATCTAATATATTTATATATAATTAAAAATAATAAAAATAAATTAAATACATTAAAAATTTGATTAAAATAAATAAAGTGGACAACACAAATACAAATGAGATTTAAATAAATAAATAGATATAATACAATTATGAATAAATAAACATGAGATTAAAATATATAAATAATTAGATATAAAATAAATGTTTTACAATTATGAATAAACAAACATGAGATTAAAATAAATAATAAAAAATAAATAACAATGGTATTTAAATAAATAAATAGAATAAAAAGATGAATAAATAAATAAAATTTAAAAAAAATATATATATAAAAAAATAAAAATTATTAATATATATATAACAATGAAGTAGATTAAACCAAAAAATAATTACATGAATAAATAGAATTTGACTAAAATATATCAATAAGAAAAATAAATTAATATATATATATATAGATAAATAAATATTAGATTACAATATTTTAAAAAACAAACAAATAAAATTAGATTAAAATAAATATATCATTTGATTAATTTGATTACAGATAAAACAATGATTCATAAAATTATGAATAATATTAATAAGAAATTGAATGAGTAAATAAATACATAGTACAGTGCCATAACGAGTGGGAAAAATAATGTAATAGTAACTTAGAAACTACAATTTTTCAGTCTAAATTGGGTCTTTAGACAAGAAACTATACAGATGCCTTTTAAATAGTACAATTGGGGCCCCTTGCACAGATCCATGGCATCTAAAAGCTTGAAATCCCTTGCTAATGTACCAAAATGCAATGCAATGTTATTTATTAATTACTAGTCCTCATTTTTTCATGTGCCCATGTGTATCTCTGTAAAGACCTGCACAGTGCAAGCTTTACAGGAGTGGCAGCAGCGCGCGGCGCTCTCACCTGCAGTCGGGGTTTAGCGGCCAGGTAAGGAGAGATACAGCTGTCACTCTCGGGTTTCTCGCAGGGTTTGGTGTAAACGATCCCGAACATGACCCAGCATGTGTGCAGCACATAGAGGAGGAAGACCCCCACGATCAGACCCGTCAGAGAGGTCTTAGGAAACATCTTAGTGCATCAGACACAGCACACACACGAGCAGAAGCCGCTCATCAACATGCTGCTCGGAGGACTGGAAATAACGAGATGCGCTGTCGCTCTGCCCCGATGCGCACAGCAGTCTGTTCTCCCGAGAGTCACCGCTGCATCCTCAGAAACCGCGAATAAAGTCATCGACGACTCCTCGTGAAGAAGCGCGCGTTTAATTCCGCTAATGTAGCGCTACATTCACTTTAGACGCGATGTTTCAATGGGCGCTTACTTCCGGGTTTCACTTCCTGTTACAGGGTTGCCAGATTTCTTCTTATTTTCGGTTTTATTTATTTATTTATTTATTAGACGCTTTTATTCAAAGCGACTTACAAATGAGGACACCAGAAGCAATCAGTTGCAGTATGAAAACAACTAAAAACAGACCCAAAGCTAAAACTTTATAAATGCTACCTATACACATTTTAAAAATAGAGAGATTAAATAAAAGTGACAAATGCATACAACAACATTTCAAAATGAAAACAAAAAAAATAAAACTGGAAACAATTCAAGATATTAAAAAACAAAAGGTACGAGAGTATAATAATGATTCTAACATAGCAACAAGCCAAACACCAAAAAAATAACTACTCACACACACAAAATATTATATAGGTTTAAATACAATTTCAGATGTCTAATATGGCTAGTTATGGAATTCCTACATGAAGTAAACAATGGACTCGACAATGTGCTGCTGTAAGGTTGTTTGTTATTGTGATAGTGCTTCAGTCATTGATTTTGATTGTGATGCTGCAGGTTTTTGATGAAACTGAGCCATGAAACAGTCACTATTGAGCTGAAGAATGGCACACAGGTGCATGGCACCATTACAGGTAATTATGTTATATAATATAATAACCTTCAATGCTGTATCTGCTTCAGGTTTACGTTTAAGAGTATGCTTTCTCTTTGAATCCTGTACACAGGTGTGGATGTCAGTATGAACACTCACCTCAAAGCTGTGAAGATGACCCTCAAAAACAGAGAGCCCACTCAGCTGGAGTCTCTCAGTATCCGTGGCAACAACATCCGCTACTTCATCCTGCCCGACAGTCTTCCTCTGGACACGCTGCTGGTCGACATCGAGCCCAAAGTCAAGTCAAAGAAGAGAGAGGCTGGTGAGTGCTGGAAAAAAAATTTTCCCACCGGTTAATCGACGTGTGACAACACTGGTATCACCGCGGGGGCGTTCCCTCTTTTCCTCGCTTTCATTCGCTTTTAAATAGCTTAAAAGTGGTGTGCGCATTTTACTTTCACTTTCAAATAGCGGCAATTTGGAGTAAAGCAATTGTTCGGTTTTAGTTTGTTTGAATTTCCCCTCTTTTCCTCGCTTTCCTTCGCTCTTAAATAGCTTAAAAGTGGTGTGCGCATTTTACTTTCACTTTCGAATTAGCGGCAGTTCGGCATCAATTGCTTGACTGCAACAACAAAATACAACGTCAAACTCACTTTAGCCTATATATAAAACATAGAACTTTTATTAACAAAATGAATAAAAATACACCATGCTATAGGGCAGGCTATGCCTAATATAAAATGACAAATAACTTACATAAAGTTTAAATAGGTATACAAAACTGGAAATAGGCGAAGTAAACATGTATAATATATAACCAAATAAATAAGAAATGTAGAACGTTTATTAGCAAAACGAGTAAGAAAGCTTGGAGGCACGGCATACACCTTGATGTCAAATAAAATAAATAATCAACACAAAGTTTAATTTAGTTAAAATCAGCAAACAATGTGGAACCAACTAAATAAGAAACGAATGTTTAAAAAAACTTCCAAAACTTTTCAAAATCCAAAATATTGCCAAACAGGCGCTTTTGGGTCTCGTTTCGAAACTAAATCATCCGCGATCGTCTTGTCCGTCTCACCTCACCTCACTCTTCCTGTCTGTCTCACCTCACTCTTCCTGTCTGTCTCACCTCACTCTTCTTGTCTGTCTCACCTCACCTCACTCTTCTTGTCTCTCACCTCACTCGTCTTGTCTGTCTCACCTCACTCGTCTTGTCTGTTCCTGTCCGTCTCGCCTCACTCTTCCTGTCCGTCTCGCCTCACTCTTCCTGTCCGCCTCGCCTCACTCGTCCTGTCCGCCTCGCCTCACTCTTCGTCCGCCTCGCCTCACTCTTCGTCCGTCTCGCCTCACTCTTCGTCCGTCTCGCCTCACTCGTCTTGTCCGTCTCGCCTCACTCGTCTTGTCCGTCTCGCCCGACAGTGGGGGTCGGTGACGTGGTGGGCAAGTGACGTAACCGGTGTTGCGGCTTAACACCGGTATCACCGTCAACACCGTCTACCGCGGCAAGCCTAAACTGAACATGACATTGAAACACAGATTGATTATGAAAACGTTCATTTGTTTCCATCTGTCTTGCAGTGGCAGCCCGTGGGCGAGGAAGAGGACGGGGTCGGGGCAGAGGAAGAGGACGTGGCCGTGGCGGGCCGAGGAGATGAACGTCTCAAGCCACTGTACATCTGTGTGCTTTGTACAGAATTTTTTGTTTGTTTTCATTTAGAAAATATTTTTATTTTTATTTTGTACATTAAATTCATTTCTTTTGAAAACTGTTTTGAGTCTTTTGTTGGAGTCCTGAACTGTTTGTACTAATCATAAGGCAGTGATATTTCTGCAAAGGTGTCTCGTTATTTTTCTACATTTATGTCAATAAACTGCTTGATTTAACTTGTGTAGTTGTTTACTGAAGGATGTTACTTTTTATTTAAAGGGGTCCTATTATGCTCTTTTACAAAGTTTTGATTTTGTTTTGGGGGTGTACTAGAACAGGCTCTCATACTAGGTTGTTCGAAAAACACATTATTTTTCACATACTTTGAGCTTTGTAACTTTGCAGATCTTTTTTTTGCTCAAACAGCGACATTACAGACTAACTAAAGTTGAAAAAGTGAAAAAGCATAATAGGACCCCTTTAAGCTATAATGGCCTGTGTTGAAGCCCAATAATATTGCTGCTTATTTATTTATAAAAAAAAAAGTGAATTTAGACCAAAATACCCAAGTTTGTAATGGATCTACTGCAGTTGCTACTGAAAACCTCTCCATTCATCGTGTAAGATTGCTGTTCATTGGAAACCTGGAAATACAATGGACTTTTTATATTAAAATATATATTCTTAATTCAAGTATTTCTGGTTATGCACAAAAGTCTCGTTTTCTTTTCCTTTTTTTAACGATGCTCAAAAATCCTGATCCAATAAAGTTTTGGTTTTTAAATATGTTAAACATATCTTTACTTTCCATAAAAATTTATGATCTAACATAGTTATTTTTCCTTTAGTTTAAAAACAAAAAAAAAGTGTTGGACCAATATTGCCTAAACGTTGTTTTACACATCTGTGTTAGCGTGAAAGGACGTTTGGGGCTTTTATTTTGAAAATTGTGAGCAAACTGCACGGGTCAGTTGCCTTTAGCGAATCGGTTCATGTGAACGAGCCAATTTTTTTTTTTTTTGCGTTTCATTGTTATTTAAAATACCGCATGTAGCTGACATCATAATCAACATCAATTAAATTATTATTTTTTATTATTATCAAAATCCTAACCCAACTCACAGGCACCTTCCTTGTAAAAGTTACTCCGGTTGTGAATCATTCTAAAGAGTCGACTCACGAGAACGATTCCTTAGTGAATCTGACACTTAGCTAGCTAGCTGTCTTTAGCCAAACGAACTGGAGCTTTCAAAGGTTATAAAAGCCCCCAGGATTTGTTTTTTAAAACGCGTATGCATATCTTCTCTTCACGTTGCTTTGGGCACAGCGTTAATAAAATGTCATCCAGCGGGTTTTTCATGTACTTTGCTTTTGGCAGTAATTTACTGAAAGAGAGACTTCAGCTGAAAAACCCATCCGCTGTGTTTCACTGCGTCGGCAGGATACAGGTAAACAAACACATTATTTGATTGATTAACATTGTAAGGATTGTAAGGAAATTGCATTTTGAAACAATGTTAACGTTACCTTGGAAAACAAATAGTTTATTATTACATTTCCCCCTCTAATTATAGAACTGTATGGTTAGATATATTAATTATTAACTCATTTGTTTACTTATTTGAATGAAAAAAATCTTCACATATATATATATTTTTTTTAAATATTAAATTTTTTTAATTTGTGAAAATATTTTTAGAAAGTGGGAATTAAAAAAAAAAAATTTTTATAACATAAAATTATTAAAAAAAAAATATATATATATATATATAAAAAAAAGCATCATACAACAGGATGTTGATGGACATGTACTATAGTACTCTATAAAGTATCATTGTATATATCAAAGCATGACTGTCTTGTAAGAGATTTACTGTGTCTCAGGACTACAGGCTGAATTTCGGTCTTTCGGGCGACTGCACTGACTGCGCTTGGCACGGTGGAGTGGCCACAATACAGGAGAGTGAAGGAGACGAGGTCTGGGGAGTCGTGTGGAGGATAGACAGCCAAAACCTGCCCAGTTTAGACCGGTGAGATCACCTGGGACTGTGATCTCTCCCAAAATCACACTTTCATCTTGTATTCATGATCAGTATTGTATGGGATATTGATGTTTCTTTTCACACAGTAAAGCATACATCTCATATCGGTATTTCATGTCCATTTATTTATTTTGCAAGCAGAAGTTGTAGTATGCTGGTTTTTAGTACTTTCGTCTTTGACAAAATAGTATACAAGTTAAAAAAAGCTATAACATAGGCTTTCATCATCAGCTTAGTCAGATAGCAGCCACTAGATTGAGCATCCTTATTGCACCCTGTAAAGCTTCCATATGTTGAAAATGTTCTACTCGAGAATTAAATATACCGTATCTCACAGAAGTGAGTACACCCCTCACATTTTTGTAAATATTTTATTATATCTTTTCATGTGACAACACTGACGAAATGACACTTTGCTACAATGTAAAGTAGTGAGTGTGCAGCTTGTATAACAGTGTCAATTTGCTGTCCCCTCAAAATAACTCAACACACAGCCATTAATGTCTAAACCGCTGGCCACAAAAGTGAGTACACCCCTAAGTGAAAATGTCCAAATTGGGCCTAATTAGCCATTTTCTCTCCCCGGTGTCATGTGACTCATTAGTGTTACAGACCCGCAGGAAATTACCTATTTTTATTTATTTTTTTCAAACTTATCAAGTCAATTAATCATAAATAAAGTCCCGGACTTTAACCCAATGTTAGGCACATGTTGGGTTGAAATCTTTTGTAATAAGAACTGAACAGAAGATACACTGATCGTCACAATCAGCTTGTAAAAGCTTTCTTATTATGTAAAATGGGGCACCAGTACAAATGTCAGTTCTGAAGAAGAAACAAAAGGTTTCTTTGTTTGCCTTTGGATCAAGTATTGGATCATGGAAAGTAAAAAAAAAACACATCCGTGTGTGATGATCACTATGGGTTTGTGTCGGTTGATTCTGTTGAATGTGATGTTTGATCCAGAGAAGGTCAGACTAACATCTAAAACCGGAAAGTAAAACACAGACAGTCAAATGCATGTGACATTACTGCACTATCCACTCTAGAACAATTAAAACAAACTTTGCTCTATTAATATGATAATATAATCCTGTGATAAATGGTGTCAAAAAGCCCCATTTAATCATCCAGTTTATAATGTCAAATCCAAAACGCCATGGATGATGACTTTTATCCTTTGACCCTGAAAAAAATGTATGATACTGTAAGGTCCGCCCACTGGTCCAACGACGGTAGCCAGTGATCCGGAAGAAGGGTTCTCGCGTGTTGCTGTCTTTCCTTTTATACAGCACAACAATATTAAATTAAATACATTTTATGTTTTGTGAAATTTTGGGGGGTCTCAAAAAATATTGACAATGTGTTATTTTGACGTGCAATTTCAGTTTTGTGTAATGTGATCATCGTGGATTATTATGTGTAAAATTGCAAAAATATAATTCATTCATGCATGACGGTGATTTAAACCTAATTCACTTCAATAAAGATAACTATACATGCTATTCTTGTCATGAGCATCAAGGTGTGGGGGCGCTGCGGTGCAAATTCCACTCATGTTTAGTACGTTAACTCAAAGATTCGTAGAAAAAATATAAACGCTGGACCCTGTGGTCCATTCTGTGTTAAGGTAAGGCATGTTATTCGCAATTATGTGTCGTGGCTGGGTTGTTATAGGTCTGCGTGACTCTCGATGTCTTAGGCCTAATTGAACGGAGGAATTATGGTGTTCTTCTGTAGCCTGATGACGAGTAACTTTAACCGTTGTTCATGTGAACTCAAAGACAGCCTGATGCTTTGTTTATAGACTATTTGTGGGTGGCTGTTTGTTGTTTCACCTATCAATTTGTGTCGATAAAATATAATAGGGTAAATCCTGTATAGTGATTTATCCTATATAGTGCTTGCATAAAGCAAGTAGTGCATACACTTGTAGCTGTTATGTATCTTTGTAAGTGATTGTAAGCATGCGCAATGTAGTTCGAACATTGCCCCCAGATACATGATTGACTGGCTGGGGCATAACACGCTTTTTTGTTTGTTCACACAGAGACCTAAACTCTCCAGGTGAAGTAACAGAGCGTGTTTGTGGCTGTTGAGCACATCCTCCGAATGGGCCAAAACCAGCCAATCGTCCAAATAATTCAATATGCATATTCCGCTCGCTCTCAGAGGGGAAAGTGCCGCATCCACATATTTCGTAAATGTATGCTGCGCCAGCGCTAGCCCGAACGGCATCACCGTGAACTGATACGCTATGCCTTCGAACGCAAATCTCAGAAAGCGCCTGTGAAGAGGGGCGATCTGTATATGAAAATATGCGTCCTTCAGGTCCACCGAAATAAACGAATCTCCGGGTTGAATCTGCGTGAGTATCAGCTTTAGTGTTGTCATTTTGAAAATGATGGGTCTCAGGTCTAAGATTGGACGGAAAAACCCGCTTTCTCTCTCGCTTGGCGGGATCACTTACACTTGTAGCTGTTATGTATCTTTGTAAGTGATTGTAAGCATGCGCAATGTAGTTTGAACATTGCCCCCAGATACATGATTGACTGGCTGGGGCATAACACGCTTTTTTGTTTGTTCACACAGAGACCTAAACTCTCCTGGTGAAGTAACAGAGCGTGTTTGTGGCTGTTGAGCACATCCTCCGAATGGGCCAAAACCAGCTAATCGTCCAAATAATTCAATATGCGTATTCCGCTCGCTCTCAGAGGGGAAAGTGCCGCATCCACATATTTCGTAAATGTATGCTGCACCAGCGCTAGCCCGAACGGCATCACCGTGAACTGATACGCTATGCCTTCGAACGCAAATCTCAGAAAGCGCCTGTGAAGAGGGGCGATCTGTATATGAAAATATGCGTCCTTCAGGTCCACCGAAATAAACGAATCTCCGGGTTGAATCTGCGTGAGTATCAGCTTTAGTGTTGTCATTTTGAAAATGATGGGTCTCAGGTCTAAGATTGGACGGAGACCACCATCTTTTTTTGGGATGACAAAGTACCGGCTGTAAAACCCACTTTCTCTCTCGCTTGGCGGGACCACTTCTATCGCGTGTTTCGTGAGGAGATTGAGAATTTCTTGCCTCAGCACTGGCTTGTTGTGTGCCAGAACTGTCGACATGACCACGCCATTGAACCGGGGAGGTCTGCGCCGAAACTGAAGCGTGTAGTCATGCTCTATTACGTTCCGCAACCAATCCGGAATGGACCGCCATGCGCTTGCAAAAAGATAATCTCCGGGTTGAATCTGCGTGAGTATCAGCTTTAGTGTTGTCATTTTGAAAATGATGGGTCTCAGGTCTAAGATTGGACGGAAAAACCCGCTTTCTCTCTCGCTTGGCGGGATCACTTCTATCGCGTGTTTCGTGAGGAGATTGAGAATTTCTTGCCTCAGCACTGGCTTGTTGTGTGCCAGAACTGTCGACATGACCACGCCATTGAACCGGGGAGGTCTGCGCCGAAACTGAAGCGTGTAGTCATGCTCTATTACGTTCCGCAACCAATCCGGAATGGACCGCCATGCGCTTGCAAAAAGACACAGAGGGTGGAGCGCCTCGCCCTCTGAATTCTGAGCAACGCCGCTGTATACCGGGGTCATGTTCAGAAAGCTCACGGGACGAGTGGGAGTGCTGTTTGTTAGCGAAGGCCGTGCCTCGCCGATTAACGGGGAGTGCGAGTCTTCTGCTGAATGTAGTGCTGGGCGGTATACTGGTTCATACCGAATACCGGTGTTTATTTTTGTTATGATATGAATTCTTTAAATACCGCAATACTGGTATATGTCACTTAAACAACGTTCGGAACGCGACACTGTTTGAAAGGGGTCCCTTTTCACTGGTGCACTGTGGTGAGGGACCGCTAGAATATTTTAAACTCACCAGGGAAAGGGTTAATAGCACTAAATAGCAACCAATTAAATGTACATTTTTAATCATAACTACTCACTTAAGTGTCTTCAGTTTATAATGTGGATCATCCTTCAGATCAGACAGCAGCTTCACATCTGAGAATCTTAGTTCATTTCCAGACAGATCTAGTTCTCTCAGGTGTGAGGGGTCTGATCTCAGAGCTGAAGCCAGAGCAGCACAACCTTCATCTGTGACTCCACAATAACTCAACCTGTAGAGAACAATGACACTCTTCAGTCTCTCAGTTCAGGATCTACAGCTCAGATAAGCAGGAACTTCACAATCAGAAAGAGAGACTTAATCCATGACATGATCAACAGCTCCAGTCTAAGGTTCAGACCCGCTTCTACATGTTGCTTATCATTATGTTCAGTGCTTAATTTGTAAATGAATAATTGCTTATGAAATGCAATTAACTTTAGGTTGGCTTGTGAAAGCCTAGCCTGAAAGTTTGAAGGCTTGAAGATTTGCACTGACTTTTTTTTTTTAAAGATATGAACCAAATATTATTAATATAGTTGATCATTATTATTGATTATTATTTGTAAACGTTATTTTTTTATTAACCATTAACTCAGGCTACAATATTTTCTACATAGCTGTTCTACTTTTATCTCATATTTCTTCCCATTTATAAAATAAGTTATGTCCATTTGTTATTTATTTGGTAAGTAGGCATATAATAAGCAAAAATGTACAGTCATTCACAAATTTGCATTGGGGTCACTATCTGCTTTATTTAATGGATATAACACTGTCTATCCACCTTTTTCCTCAACACAGAAGTAAGCCTATGGGTGAGACTTCCGGATCATTATCCGCTATAGGGAAATAACGAGAAGAATAACAACGTGCAGTAAACGGTAACACTGTTTGCTCTACAAATCAGTGTGCTCATAATTAAGGTAATACATTAAAATAATATGGTAAGACACATCAATTTGCAATATCAAGCAGCAAAACAAGCTGTTTTGTACAGCTAAAAATAGCTGGATGCGGATGAGACCGGAAGTCATACCCATAAAATTTACAAATGGCTGCACCCACTCTTACGGGAAGAAAAAAGTGGATATTTATCCATTTTCATCAGTATGTTATGGAGCCCCTAAAGGGACATGGTGATGGGGAAAAAAGATGAGATGGGAAGAGAAAATACTGTATATTTCAAAGCTTTTGCATTCACAAATGCAAAGTTTCTCAGGGCAACAAAAAAGTTTTCCTTCAACCTGGAAATGAGGAACCATGTTCAACAGCAAACTCCCAAAACATGCATTTGTAAAATAGCTTATCATCACCTTCACAACAACTCTAATGGATAACGAGACTCACCTGTCTCGTTATACACCTTGTCTCTCCTTTTTACACTTGGTACATTTCCTGACATGATAAAGTTCTACAAATGGATCCTATCCTTATGAGAGCTACCATGAACTTTTTGTGAATATTTCTTTGTGAGTAGTGTGTGCAATTCTCAGAAGATTTACCACAGTATCTCCAGTTTACAGTGAAGATCCTTCAGCAGATCAGAGAGCAGATTCATTGTTGACGATCTTAGTTTATTTCCAGACAGATCCAGTTGTCTCAGGTGTGAGGGGTTTGATCTCAGAGCTGAAGCCAGCGCAGCACAACCTTTATATGTCACACCACAATCCCTCAACCTGTAGAGAACAATGACATGCTTCACTCTCTCAGTTCAGGAGCTACAGCTCAGATAAGCAGAAACTTCACAATCAGAAAGAGGGACTTAATCCATGACATGATTAACAGTTCCAGTCTAAGGTTCAGACACGCTTCTACACAAAAATATCATTAAATATATATATTTTTTTCTTTCTTTCTTTTCGCTTTCACAATGAAACCCACAGCGTCTCGACATGGCGGCGGCAACAATACTACAGCGAGAATAAAACTTACGCCTTCATTCTTTGCGTAAACATTTGGGCGGCGTTATGCAAATCTTCCCACACAGGGACGTAGACATGTGGGGGCGTGTTTAAACGAGGCGTTTTTTGGGAGGGCGTGGACAAGTCTTAACTTTTATAAAGAATATCTCTTTGGGTTTGAGACTTTAGTCTTTGCAACTTTAGGGATCTTATCTATTCACGAACAGCTTGTAAGACTCCAAAGAGAAAGGAAAACTTGAAATCGCACCAAAAATTTAAATTCTGTCATTAATTACTCACCCTCATGTCGTTCCAAACCCGTAAGACCTTCATTCATCTTCGGAACCCAAATTAAGATATTTTTGATGACATCGGAGAGCTCTCTGACCCTTCATAGACAGCAACGCAACTGTAATGTTCCCAGGTGCAGAAACGTAGTAAGGACATCGGTAAAACAGTCCATGTGACATCAGTGGCGTAACTTCAATTTTGCGAAGCTACGAGAATACAGTACTTTTTGTACGCAAGGGAAAAAAAAGACTTTATTCAACAATTCTTCCATTTTAAATACTTGCCATTTTAGAGAGTATCACAATGCATACGCACGCTTTCCCCTAAGCGTAAACAATGCTGATTACGCAGATTACGTTCATGCGCGTGCTTTCTCCCCCAAACGTAAACAACACATCGATTACGCTTTTGGGTACTCTCCGAAATAGCGGAAGACGCAACTCGGGGGAGAATAATTGTTATAATTGTTGTAAATAAATTGTTATTTTTGTTTTCTTTGCACTCAAAAAGTATTCTCGTAGCTTCGCAAAACTGAAGTTGAGCCACTGATGTCACATGGACTGTTTTACCGATGTCCTTACTACGTTTCTGGACCTGGGAACATTACAGATGCGTTGCTGTCTATGCAGGGTCTGGAGCTCTCACATTTCATCAATAATATCTTAATTTGTGTTCAGACGATGAACGAAGGTCTTACAGGTTTGGAACGTCATGAGGATGAGTAATTAATGACAGAATTTTCATTTTGGGGTGATCTAACCCTTTAAGGCCCTGTCCACACGAACGCAGTTATTTTCAAAACCACAGCTTTTTCTACGTGGTTTGGCCATTCGTCCACACGCAAACGCTGCACCAGGTCACTGAAACTGAAATTTTTTTAAAACTCCTGCTAGGGTGAAGATTTTCAAAAACTCCGGTTGCAGTGTTATCCTGTAGACAGCGAAACCGGAGTTTTTGGCTTGAGACGTCGGAGTATGTACCATTATCTCCACCTACTGGAAACTTTTTCAGGCTTCTGATTGGCCAACATGGCTTTACGGTTGAGATTATATCGCCACCTGATGGTTTGGCATGCTCTTGACAGTGCTTCATAGCATGCGTTTGCGTTCTCATGTGGATGGAGATTTTTTTTTAAAAGGAAGGAAAAACTCAGTTTATAAAAATACCCGTGTACGTGTGGACATGGCCTAAAACATACTTAACAATTTTTTTTTAAAAAGGGCAGAATGAGGAGCAAGGATGACAAGGGGGATAAGGCCAAACGCAACCATGCGTAATTAAAGACATTTTAAGGTGATTTTATTCAAACTGGCTGAAAAATCATAAATTCAGTCATTATTAATATGAGTTTTTCCATTTTGACCGATAGGTGTCACTGTTATCAAATTGATGTGGTGTGGTCAATGACGTGGCAATGACACAAAGTTTGGTATCAGTATGTCAAAGCTTTGCAGAGATACAGCCTCAGATACAGTTTAGCATCATGCAATTAAATTTGTTAAGGCAGTAAATGAAAACTGTTTTGCCGATCAACACAAAATCCATAACTTTTTGTCAGTACAGCCTGAAGATGACTTCGGTCGAGTTTGGTGAAAAATTGGACCAACAGTCAATGAGAAGTTTGAAAAAGTAGATTTCAAAATAAATCAAAATGGTGGACAGGAAGTTCAGCTGATTATGGCATAATTGTAACAATGTTTTCTGCATAATCCAACTAACAAGACCAGTCACATGACAACAGGCAAAACTGTTTATAAGTTATTAGCATTTTTAGAAATTTCATTATGATATACCAATGCGTTCATAAAACATCGGGTGCATCGTCTCAATCAGCTCCCTTTTTCAGGAGTCAATACTTAGGACCATGTGATATTTCAGTTTTTCTTTTTTAATAAATCTGCAAAAATGTCAACAATGCTGTGTTTTTCTGTCAATATGGGGTGCTGTGTGTACATTAATGAGGAAAAATAATTTACTTAAATGATTTTAGCAAATGGCTGCAATATAACAAAGAGTGAAAAATATAAGGGGGTCTGAATACTTTCCATACCCACTGCAAAGGGAGTCTTGTGATTTTTGGCCAAACCGTTCACAAGTTTTAAGCAAGAATAGCCATTTTTCATATCTCCTGACCACTAGGCAGCACTGTGCTGAAACTGTGCATGGTTGTCATTAAACACACCAGTTTGGTCTGAATACACTAAAGCATGCGAAGCATTTGAATGATCTTGAGCCAAGTAATCAGAGGAAAAATTAATTATTAATTTGTCTCTGAAGGTCAATAACTATCTGGAACTGAACCATGTTCAACAGCAAACTCACAAACCACAAGTGTTTGTAGTGTTGCAGCAGGAATGACGAGACTGTGAACTCTGAACTGTATTGTGTGTGTGAAGCATTTTTTGTAACGGAAATTTGCCTCTCCTTTTACACTTGGCATATTTCCTGATATGTGGATAAAACTCTACAGATAATCATACATCCTTGTCAGAACTACAACTATAAACTATTTGTTAATATTTCTATGTGTGTACCAGTGTGTTTGATCCTCAGAGAGATGATCTTACTTCAGTTTCTCCAGTTTACAGAGAGGATCCTTCAGTAGATCAGAGAGCAGATTCACTCCTGATGCTCCTAGTTTGTTTCCAGACAGATTCAGTTCTCTCAGGTGTTCAGGGTTTGATCTCAGAGCTGAAGCCAGAGCAACACAACCTTCATCTGTGACGCCACAATCCCTCAACCTGTAGAGGATAAAGAACATACATAATGAACAGACACCAGCTGAAATTAAATAAAAAATGTGAGAACTACAAATGTAATTCAAAAAGACATTATAGCATACACATAAACATCATCATGTCAGTGGATGTGACATTTATGCCAACTCTGAAGAGTCAAACATAAACTTTCTATACGCTATAAATTTTAATGACTTCATCTGTTCACATGATCCATTTTGGACAGTGCTCGCTCAAAAAAATGTGGCTGCAGTGCACATAACGACCACTGGGAGCCATTAATAATAGATTCTCAAATGTTCCATATAAAACCTTTAAAGGGTTACTCCACCCCAAAATGAAAATTTTGTCATTAATCACTTACCCACATGTCGTTCCAAACACCGTAAAAGCTTAGTTCGTCTTCGGAAACCGTTTAAGATATTTTGGATGAAAACCGGGAGGCTTGTGACTGTCCCATTGACTGCCAAGTAAATTGCACTGTCAAGGTCCATAAAAGTATGAAAGACATCGTCAAATTAGTCCATCTGCCATCAGCGGTTCAATCAGAATTTTATGAAGCGACTAATGTTGTCACAGTACCAAAATTTCAGTATTCGGTACCAAATACCAGTAAAAATCCACAGTTCTCGGTACCAATTTCGGTACCAAAGCAAAACATAAAAACATGCTTATTAAAAAATTTGACAATACTTTAATTTAATCCAAACTGTGTACATATTTAATTTAAAGGGATTTGAAAACCTAGAGTTATTCAGCCAAGAATAACAACTAAGTTAGCTAAAAAAAAAAAAAAAAAACCCAAAAACTGCTTTTCTGACTGATATGACACAAACAATGTTAACCATTTGTACATTCTCTAACACGCATATTTTAGATTCACAATTCATTTAAAAGCCTCTGGTGTGTAAAAATAGTAAATATCATCATGGCCTGATAATAATGATAATGATATGATAATAAAAGTCATAAGAGCATAATAATTAATAAAGAAACCTCATTCTAATGCTCATTATTTTAGCGTTAGCCACACTTATGCTAATGATTAACTACTCTAATAGCAGCGTTCATTTCAATCCGACATTCAAATTAAAATATTGAATAATATTCATAACAGAAGCGGTGTTTCCCACAGACTTGCACTCTATTTGTGGTGGCATATATATGCAAATTCATTCTCTGCCAGCAGGAGGCGCTTGTAAAGCGGGAGAGATGGAGGTTTTCCCGGTAACGGCTGTACACAAAGCAGCGCTCAGCTCACAAACGCTGCTCAGGCATTACAGGCAAGATGAAATGAAAATGACATCCATAATTTTCTGAAGACAGTCGGTTTCCTTCAGAAATACAGTGATATAAAAACACCTGCACCGGGTTTCGACTTTGACACGTGCAGTGTTCATGTTTATTCAACGAATTCAAAGCCTTTTGGAAAATCTATTTGTGGCGGTGAGTTTTGATATTGTGGCGGGCGCCTCAAATAAATCAATGTATGGGAAAATGAAACTTGCCTGCTTGAACTCTTTCATTTGATCCGGGTGACTGTCTTTAAAGTATTTTGTTAGTTTGATGTGTTTCCTCATTTTGAGGTCGCCACGTCTCAGTGCTTTTATAAAGAGAGCGCATCTGTGCACCTTTCAGATAGCGCATCAAGAACTCGGGACTCGGTACCACCGGTACTTAAAAAACGTTTTCATTTTTTTAGTACTGACTTGGTACCGAAGTACCGGGTCTTTTGACAACACTAGAAGTGACGAAAATATTTTTGTTCACAAAGATAAATAAAAATAGTGACTTTATTCAACAATTTGTCTCCTCCGTGTCACTGTAGCGCCATTTTGGAGAGTATCCACTGAACGCAAACTGAGTACGCTGTTCTGTGTCAGCCCCGCGTTTTCGTTCAAATCAAGGCATACATAAACGTAGAAAACGCATCCGTGTGGTGCAGCTGACACAGAAGAGCGTATGCATGGTGCTACAGTGACACGGAGGAGACAAATTGTTGAATAAAGTCATTATTTTTGTTTTCTTTGCGTACAAAAAGTATTCTCGTCGCTTCATAAAATTCAGATTGAACCACTGATGGCATATGGACTATTTTGATGACTAATTTCAATACTTTTCTGGACCTTGACAGTGTAATTTACTATGCAGTCAATGGGACAGACACAAGTCTCACGGTTTTCACCCAAAATATCTTAAATTGTGTTCCAAAGACGAATGAAGCTTTTACGGGTTTGGAACGACATGGGGGTAAAGTGATTGACAAAATTTTCATTTTGGGGTAGAGTAACCCTTTAAGGCCCAACTGAGCAAGACAAAGGCCAATAGTGAAACTGGCAGCCCCTGCGGGTCTGCCAGTTTTAAGAAAGCACATGCTAAAATGATAAATGTGATCATATTTTATCAGTGTAGTGAATGTTTTCAGTGTGACTTACTGAACTGATCTGGATTCTTTAACCACAGGCAGCAGCTTCTGAAGAACTTCATCTGCTGTATTTTGGAATCCAATAAATTTTTTTAGAACAAAAACATCCATCTTCTGCTCTGATGTCAGCAACACATAAACCATAGCTGACCACTGTGAAGAGGAGAGTTTGGTTTCTCTTATTTCTCCAGATTTCAGATAATCTTGGATCTCCTGCATCAGTGAATCATCACCCAGTTCATTCAGACAGTGGAACAGATTGATGGATCTCTCTGGAGCACGATTCTCCCTGATCTTCTGTTTGATGTACTGAACTGTTTTCTCTTTGTTGTAGGAGCAGCTTCCTGTCTGTGTCAGTAGTTCTCGTAAAAGAGTCTGATTGGACTCCAATGAGAGACCCAGAAGAAAACGCATGAAAAGGTCCAGATGTCCATTTTTACTCTGTAAAGCCTCATCCACAGCTCTCTGATGCAGGCCAGATAATGAACTCATCCATCTTAAAAATGTAGAGAAGACACTTTGTTTGGTTTGGTCAAACACATTTCTGTTCTTGTCTGTAAAGGAGTGGTGTGCATATAGAGCTGCTAGATGTTCCTGGATGCTCAGATGAACAAAGCAGAAGACTTTCCCCTGAAACAATCCAAACTCCTCTCTGAAGATCTGAGTGCACAATCCTGAGTACACTGATGCTTCTGTCTCATCAATGCCACAATCTCTCAGGTCTTCCTCATAGAAGATCAGGTTGCCTTTCACAAGCTGCTCAAAAGCCAGTTTCCCCAGTTTTACAATCATATCTTCATCTTTGACTGTCTTCTCATAGTCCTTCTCTTGCTTGATGTTGGTCTGAATGATCAGGAAGTGTGTGTACATTTGAGTGAGAGTCTTGGGAATCTCTCCACTCTCTGCTCGACTCAACATCTTCTCTAGAACAGTGGCTGAGATCCAGCAGAACACTGGGAGGTGGCACATGATGTGGAGGCTCCTTGAAGACTCCAGGTGAGAGATGATTGTATTGGCCAGACTCTGATCTCTGATTCTCTTCCTGAAGTATTCCTCCTTCTGAGCCCAGTCAGGTGTGCCGTGAATCTCTATTATAATTCGTTATTATTAAATAATAGAAATCAGAGGGTTTTACAAATATTTAACCAATGCTAATATTACAAAGGGCTTCTCAGTAAAACTTCGTAACGCTATTGGATCCTCAAGCTCTCAGCTTCTCTGCTTTTTCGTAATGCAAGGGTAAATAACTGATGTTTGAATAGTAAAGCATTTTCTTCAAACACTATGTCTGTAAAAGGCTAATGTTTGTGTGTGTTTGAAGAGCGGAAAAGTAGGTTATTTGCCGTCTAGCCATATATATAAAATATACTTTTGTAGGCCTGCGTTTAAAATATCCTGTGCATAGGCGCTTAATCGTTTATATCATGAGATTTTGACTACGCAGTGTTGTTTAATTATTTACTTTTTTAGCTTTCTTTCTTCCCCCTTATTGTTTATTGCAACAATACACAACTACAATAACTTTGTCTACTGCTCTTATGAAAGTTTATTGCATGATTTGGGGAAATGTTACTATACTGAATGACATAGCATAGACTTCTTCATGGCTAGTTTTTGCGTATTTCATTTCATTCTGTAACCTACTTGTTCTACAGATCTATGTGTACTAGTGTTAAATGCTACTGTTTTTGACAGTTGATAACGTTTATGACACATAATATCATGATCATTTTTGCGTTTCCCTTATGCCAAGTTCACACTGCATGATTTTCAAAGACGTCGCATCACTGTTGGTTTCACACTGAACGACTATCTGGGCTAGCATTCAGTTGTTGCTGTGTTCACACTGCACGATGGAACTACGACAGGAGGTTACACACTGCATGAATTTACAATAGGAAGAATCGCCAACAGCTCTATCTGGTGCAGGGTTGCCAGGTTTCCGCTACAAAACCCGCCCAATTACTACTCAAAACTAGCCTGAAAATAGCCCAATTGCTTTCATTTCAGCAGATTTGATTTAAAATTGCTCTGGACCAGTTGAGAGTCATGACTATAATTAAAAATAATAAATTACATATGTTCAGATTACAGAACATAAATTAAAGAGGTAAAAAATTATATAAAAGTAAATTAACCTTAATTAAACAAATAAATGAACAACACCATATAAATGACAGTGCCGTTGGTCTGAATACCAGCATGGCTGTGATTTGTTTGCACAAGCTGTGCTGATATTCAGACCAACTGAATAATTTTGTTATTATATTGCTTTAACACAATCTCAATAAACAAGAAGTTAATATTGAACAACTTCTTTTTAGATACAGTGTTGCTAGTGTCACGATGCTCTATTGTGAGAAGCACAGAGCGAAAAACAAGGAGACGTGGAGTAGACTTCAAACAAACAGACTTTAATTAACATCCAAGGAGCCAGCAACACACACGTAGCGGGGAAAGACGAACATTCAATACCAGACAAAGAAACTCAGAACAGGACTCACTATAAATACACAGGACTTGACAAGGGGATGATGAGACACACCTGGAACTAATGAGCAATCAAACACATGGGAAAACTAGGTCAGGGCAGGCACATGGAGAGGAAAAACACACAGATAGAGTCCAGGGGCGTGACATATCGGCCACCCTCCCAGAAGGGACACCCAGGAGGGGGCCGGCAGACATAGTCCAGGTAGGTGACGATAGACGATGGAGGGAGGAGCCAAAGAGGAAACAGGAGGGACTTGGAGCAGGAGGAGCCAAATGGGACTCAGGCCACAGCCATGATGACGGCCCATGGTGGAGCCGACTGAGGGAGGAGCCATGGAGGAGGAATGGCCGCCGACTCCAGGGGGCTGACCAATGGCGGCGGAGGAGCCTGAGGCAGAGACGGAGAGCCTATAAGCCTGGGCGACGGGGAGGGTCCGGAGGGCCAAGGCGGAGCAGATGGTGCCAGAGACTGACACGGAGGCATGGATCCGAAAGGGCGAGGTGGAGCCGGAGCGACAGAGGACTGAGGAGGTGCCGAAGGGATGAAGGAACCCGACAGAGCCAAAAGGACGAAGGGACGAGGCGTAGCCAGAGGAGTGGAGTCCCGAGGCGCAGGATGGTCGACGCCAGACCAAGTCGGAGCCGGAGGGACGAGGGAGCCTGGCAGAGCTAGTGGACTGCCGGGCCATGGCGGAGAGGAGGGGGCTAGGATCCATGGTGGAGCCGACGGGTCAATGGGCTGAGGTGGAATCCGGGGCTTAAGGGCTGGAGGCGGAATCAAGGGATACTCCAGCCACAGCGACGCTGGAGGATGGCAGTCCCGCGGAGCTCACACCGTGCTGATGGTGGGCTGAGGGCGAGCAGAGGGGCTGCCAGACAACAGCAGTGGAGGAGGCAGGAGAGGGTGGGTTGGCGGGCATTTATGAGCCTCCGGGCTTAACTTGGGACCAGGAGCCCTCTCAGGGCTGGACGTGGGAACAGGAACTTTCTCTAGGCTGGATGTGGGAACCAGGGGCGGCGTTTCTGTATGGCAGAGTATGGCAGTTGCCATACCCTAGCCCAGTCAGGTGTGCCGTGAATCTCTATTATAATTCGTTATTATTAAATAATAGAAATCAGAGGGTTTTACAAATATTTAACCAATGCTAATATTACAAAGGGCTTCTCAGTAAAACTTCGTAACGCTATTGGATCCTCAAGCTCTCAGGTGTGGGGGGGGGCGCCGTTCTCCCCCCAAAAAACCCCGACCAATTACTACTCAAAACTAGCCTGAAAATAGCCCAATTGCTTTCAAGGGGGTCCCCCAGTTACCGCGTTCAGGGGGTAAAATAATTTTTTTTTTGGAGGGGTTCTCCAGGTACAATTCACATTCCAGGGCTTAAATATCATGTTATTGGGGTCGCTTCAACCTGCTGACATAAAAAACAACCAGCGGCAATCGCGGATTATGTCAACACTGGTCCTCAAACTACGTTTCATATAACTCCTCCCCGAACTTCCCGCTGCCCTGTATCTTGGTCTCTCATTGGCTGTAGGTCATC